CCTCAGTTCTTTTTTTTTTTTTTTTTTTTTTTTGACGGGGATCGAACTCCGGACGTCGTTCTTCTAAGGCAGGCGGTGGAACCATTGAGCTAAATCCCCAGGCTCCTAGCCCTTTTTAATTTTATTTTGAGAACGGTCTGGCTGAGTTGCCTCAGCCTTCCCGGCGGCTGGACGTATAGGACTGCCACCATTCCCAGCTTCTGTTCTCGTAATCCCCTCTTCAGGAACCATCCCAGCTCCTGGGCCGTCTCCTTTCCCCTCCCACCTTCTTCGACATCGTCTCCATTTCTCTTTCCTCCTCCTGCCTCTGGGCTCCTCAGAGTTTCTCCCACCTCTGAATCTCCCTCCCTTTTGTCTGTCTCTTCTGACCCCAAGGTGCCCTCTTCCACCTCTGGCATACCAGTCCCCCTCCCCTCCGAGATTCCTTCCTCTGTAGTAGCCCCAAGAGGGCTGGACGCCTCCCCTAATTTTTCCAGCCCTCTCTCACTTGGTGTGGATGGGACATTCAGACCTGGCCGGGCTTTTCTCTCCTCACATTGTCAGGGACTTCCCCTCCCTGCCACTCCCATCCTTTAGCCTCGCAAGTTTGCACAAGGTGGCTACACTTAGGGAGGTTGCCTCTCCCTTTCTCTGTTGTTACCAAAGGGCCCTTGAGCACAGCCACGCTAGAGGATGTGGAGTAACCACATGGTGGAAACAGGAGGGGACAAGCGGCCGGGTTCTGTCCCTTGGCTCTGGTTGCTACCCCCCACCCCACCTCGTGCCCTTCCCTACAGGTGGGTGATGCCATCCCCTCCGTGGAAGTGTTTGAAGGGGACCCTGGGAACAAGGTGAACCTGGCAGAGCTGTTCAAGGGCAAGAAGGGTGTGCTGTTTGGAGTTCCTGGGGCGTTTACCCCTGGCTGTTCCAAGGTGAGGCTCTCCAGTCTTCCTAAGTCTTGTGTTGCCCAGAGGCAGCTTGCAACAGGATTATGTAACTGTGAGACAGTTGAGAGAGCAGTTCAGCGATTTAAGGAAAAATACAAGCAGAGCTGGGATGAAGTAATAGTTCCCAGAATGTAGGAGAAAAGGACTACAGTTAAATTTTATTGATGGTACTGGATGAGAGGCACTGTGGAAAGTACATGGGACTTGGGCAAATAAGACAGTCCTGAAACTGGGTGTGGTGGCATTCTGGGAAACTGAGGCAGGAGGATTGCAAGTTCAATCCCAGCCTGGGCAATTTAATAGTAACATGACCCTGTCTCAAAAAAAAAAAAAAAAAAGGACATAGTTCTGTCCATGGGAACTTCATGATTTTGACCACAGGCTATTTGCATATGAGCTTCCCAGTGGCTGAGGAATCAAGGGAATCTAATGGTTCACAGTTACTATGCCTGATCAGAGGCATTGAGTCAAGGAAGTGAGGAGGGCCTGGAGACAAAGAAGGGCTGTGGAACAATGCAATTATTCCTTTGTTGACTCTTTTTATCCCCCTCTTAGACCCACCTGCCGGGGTTTGTGGAGCAGGCTGAGGCTCTAAAGGCCAAGGGGGTGCAGGTGGTGGCATGTCTGAGTGTCAACGATGTCTTTGTGACTGGAGAGTGGGGTAAAGCCCACAAAGCAGAAGGCAAGGTGAGGTGTGGGGTCTGCAGGGGCTGGGGCCAGGTAGTATTCTTTTTGTGAGTTTTACTTTCTGTCTCTTCAGGTTCGCCTCCTGGCTGATCCCACTGGGGCCTTTGGGAAGGTGAGTGTGTCCATTACTCCTGCTCTACAGCCACTTTCTGTTCAGGACTTCCAGAGCAGGGCTTGGAAGGACTTGGTAGTGTGGGGAGCAGCCTTTGGCCTTTTCCTGATGCATTTCTCCATCTCACTTCTTAGGAAACAGATTTATTACTAGACAATTCATTGGTACCCCTCTTTGGGAATCGCCGGCTCAAGAGGTAAAAGTCAAAGAGCTTTTCATGGGGCTTCCCTGCCACCCTGGCTCCTCCCTCCCCGCTGCCTCCAGGGCTGCGCTGATGTGCCCACCTGGTCCCTCTCTGCAGGTTCTCCATGGTGATAGAGAACGGCATGGTAAAGACCCTGAATGTGGAGCCAGATGGCACAGGCCTCACGTGCAGCCTGGCCCCCAACATCCTACCACAGCTCTGAGGTGCTGAGCCAGACATTTCCTCTGCTCTTTTCCGTCATACCTGTCTCGCCTGGACAGAGGCGGCCCTGGCCCTGCCTTAGCTGTGACCATCTGATTTGAATGCTGGCTGCGTTTCTGCAATTAAACACTTCTGGCTCTGATCTGCCTCTCTGATGTGGAGTTGCTGCCTCGTTGAGGGCCTGGTGACATGGCCACAGGTTGAGCCAAGGCTCTGGGTGGGGGAGGACTTAAGGAGAGATGAGGAGTCAAAGCATCAGCCTGAAAGTTGAGAACAAGGATTTTTTTTTTTGGTACCGGGAATTAAACTTGGGACCTTGTGCTTGCGAGGCAGGCAGTGGAACCACTGAGCTAAATCCCCCGCCCAAGAGCAAGGATATTGTAGGGCTGCAAGGGACACAGGAAAGGGCCCAGGCAGATGTAGGTTTGGCATACTCCAGGATTTTTTTGGGGGGGGTACCGGGGATCGAACTCAAGATCTTGCACTTGTGAGGTACCACTGAGCTAAGTCCTTGGCCCACTCCAGGATATTTTGGAGTTGCTCTAGAGTGCTGGCTGGTCTTGTGTGGCCTGAACTCCAGGATAGGAACCTTGGTTCTAGGCCTCTCCACTGGGGCCCAGTCCCCATTTTTTTAGGCTCTAGCCCTATCTCAAGAAGGGTCCCAGGCAACTTGGGGCTCTCTGTCTGGCCAAACAGGCTTCATCAGGAAGCCATCTTCCTCGGAAAGAGTCTAGGTGAAGCCTGGCCCATAGTTTGTGGGGGCCAGGAGCCAGGGTCCCTGCCTAGCCTTTGGGAGGGGCATTGCAGCCGTGCTCTTGGGGCTCTGCCTCTTTGCCTTGGGAAGCCATATGCATGCAGCAAGCAATAACAGTGCCTGTTTAGGGGATCACAGTCTTACGAGGGGCAGCTGCTTATAGAGCTTTTACTATGTGATGGGCACAGTGAGGTATGGACTCTTACTGCCCAGGCTTTGAGCCCTACAGGCTGTGCAGGCCAGGAGGCTCTTCTCACAGGACTGGGCTCTAGGCCCCTGCTCCAGAGCAAGACATTCTGTGGGAAGTCAGGGAGGAGATGACCCTAAAGGCAGCAGGAATGACAGCATTGTGGGGTGGGGACAGCCCCAGGCTGCTGCTGGGACAACAGGGATGAGAGGGTGCCTGAGGTCAGCTGGAAGCTACTGAGTCAGGTCTCTTGCCTCTGTGCCCTGTGGACACCTTAGGCCGGTGAACTTTTTCCCGGGGGCAATGACAGGTCAGGTTCGTACATGGGCAGCTAAGTGCAGCCTGGAGTGCAGGGCACCAGGGAGAAGCACCTGGTGGACGTAAAGGGAAGGATCTAATAACAGTGATGCCTGAGAGGAAGAGGTGGAGCTCACTGGGGCCACTGGCTAACTGCAAAGTGGTGCTGACGGTGGGGCACTCAGAAGGACGGTACCTGCCACCTTGCTGGCACCTCAGGTGCTCAGCGCCCTAAATGCCTGGGCTATCGACCTTTGTTCTTGTAGTTCGTTCGCATAACCTGCCAGCCCTGAGGTCTTGGGTAGGGGCAGGAAGGGGGCTAAGTGCTCTTTAGTTTCCCTGGTAACCTGCCCTCTCCTCCTCCCCTTGCCCACTCTGGTTTACAGTATGTTCCTTGCTAAATCCCTTTTTTCCTGGATACCATCTCTCTTAATCCTGTTGTGGTACAAAGGAGGGAATGAAGCCTCGGGCATCCTGGCAGGGCAGCTCTGAGCCTCTGTCTCCATTGTCGTGCACCCTCTGAATCCCTCTGTCTACCACCCTTGGGCTCTTCTTTGGGCTGCTCAGAGGAATCATCTCCTTCAGTGTCTGTCTCCATGGGCTGGGCCTAGGTGGCCTCTTTGGACAGCCTGGTAGGGCTGGGTGCAGTAGAGAGGGCTTTGGCCTTGGTAACCCTGGTCGCTGAGCATACAGCTCAACTTCCCAGGGTGAGGGGTGTTCAGCAGGGTGGGACTGGGCCTGGGTACCATTTCAGGCCCTGGAGGGCTCCAGATCAGAAAGCACTCGGCAGGAGAATCTGCCTTCAGGGTGGACCTTCTGGACCAGAGTGCACTGGAGATAAAACAGGCCCTGAGTCGGGGGGATTTAGCTCAGTGGCGCTGTGCCTGCCTCACAAGTGCAAGGTCCTGAGTATGATCCCTGGTTAAAAAAAAAAATGCAGTCCAGGCCACTGTGGCCTGGTTCAGGGGGCACAGGAGGCTTAGTGCTGCACCTGGCTATGGGGAGGGGGTGATCAATCCTTGACTACCTAGAAAGGGGGAGGCCTACCTAGCAGGTGGGAGGGCAAGGGTCAAAGAAAAAAGATAATAGACTTGCGTGATTTCAAAGTATATGGGGGGTTGGGAGGTCAGTGCACCAGAGTGGGCAAAGACAAGATGGCCACTATTTATTGGGTACACACAATAACTGGATGGTGATTTAGGTCTAATCCTGGGCCAGTGCAAATCTCATGCTGAGAAGGGCCCAAAGGAGAGCATTCTCACCTCAGTAGGTGGGATGGGTTGGGCTGTTAAGGAACTCCTCCCTCCCCAGGTAAAACCTTTCTTTTTTGTATTACTCCTTGGCTCTGAGGAACCAAAATATCTTCAGCTGGTATAATCTTGCCTTTGAGTGCCACATCTTCACAGACCATTGAGGTCTCAGCTGTGATGGGGCGAAACTTATGTTTCCGCTTGCCATAGCCAGCTTTAGGCAACACTGGGCCTTAGACAGCCATAGTCACACTTTAATTATGAAATTATTTTTTCCCCAAAATTTATGTAGAAATGCTCCCGACACCTGGCAGAGGGTACATATGGCCTTCCTGGGCTGTTGGTGGCCAAATGGTCAACATTTAAACAAACAAACAAAAAAAAGCTGGTTGTAGAGACACAAACCTGTAATCCAACCACTCTGGGAGGCTGAGGCAGAAGGATGGCAAGATCAAATCCAGCTCGGGCAGCTTAGCAATTTAGTGAGAACCTGCCTCAAAATTTTAGAAAGGCAGGGCCAGGGATTTAGCTCGGTGGTTTTGCTTCCTGCCTCACAAGCTCAAGGTCCCGAGTTTGATCCCCCCTACCAAAAAAAAAAATTTTTTTTAAAGTCGTGGAGGCTGGGAGTGTAGGTCAATGTGAAGACCCTGGGTTCAATCTCCACTACTGCAGAGCAAAGCACTGATCTCCATCATGCACTCTGCGTGTCCACGGGAAAAGGCTAGGAGTTAGGACAGAAGTCACATCCCAATCCTGTCTTTACTGATACCTGCACAGGACAATGACTCTGAGCCTCAATTTTCCCATCAGTCCAGTGGGGAGAATAGTCGTGCTTATCTGCTATCCATCTTCTGCTAACCCTAGGGGTGGTGAACCTTATAGAGCTTTTAATGATAACACAGCCCACTGCAGCATTTGTGCCATAGGTTCACTACGACTGCACTTATCTGGCATCTGAAACTTCACAGGCCAAGGAGTAGGGAAGACATCTCAGGCAGAGTGCCTGCCTAGCATACTCCAGAAAACCACAGAGATTGAGGGGAATATGTTCTAAGACTTCCACTGGATGCCAGCCTGACATATGAACAACTTGGGTAATGAGTGGAATTTTAGTTTTAATTTACGACCAAAGTATTGAGTTATGGCCCAAATGCCAGTCACTTGTACTTCGAAATGATCTCAGTTACAGATTTAACCCTTAAAGAGTTCTGGAAGGAGCAGTACACTGTCCTTTCCGGTGTGGAGTTAAGTGAGAAATCCTGGGCCAATGTCTCTAAGGACACTGAAATCTTCCTGTTTACAGTAGAGAGATTTTGAAGGCTGAATAGAGGAGCCTGAGCCTTCAATTGACCAACTTGAGTTATAACCAACTCTCGGGAATGAGTTGAGTTCATAAGTCAAGGGTCCACTGTACTAGGCTTCCCCTTTCACATATACTTATGATAAATTTTTTGTTTATTTTGTTTTTTGAGACAGGGTCTCACTGTGTAGTTGAGACTGACCTGGAACACTCGAATTTTTTTTGTTTATTTTGTTTTTTGAGACAGGGTCTCACTGTGTAGTTGAGACTGACCTGGAACTCACTCGAATTCACAGCGATCCTCCTGCCTCAGCCTACCGAGTTCTGGGATTACAGGTGTGCACCACCATGCCTGGTTTAAGAATGACTGCTTTCGATCATTGCTCCAGGCACATTGACTCCCTCCCCCAGGCAGGCCTCAGAAATTCTGGTCTTCTCCTCTTTCTGTCTTGGAGCTAGTCATAAAAATTCTCTGACCTGCCCTTATCTGATAGTAGCTCATCCCTGTTCCAGAGAGTCCTGCCCATGCTTGGGAGGGAGGGAGCCTGGGAGGAGACCAAGAAGCATGTGAACAGACAGGCCCAACTGGGTTTTCCTACCCGCCTGTCAGTATCAGATTGGACCCTTTTGTCCAATCACATTGTGACACTCAAGTGTGCTCCACTTAGGCCTATACAATGACAGATCTCCATCTCTGTTATAACCTAAAGGGACAGGGTTCTGGAGCTTCCAATCTGCCAAATCTGCCGAGGCCCCTTCTCCCAGACCTTGTGCTATGTGTCTCTTCACCTTTATCCTTCTTCAGACAGTGCTGGGGGATGGAACGTGGAGCCTTACCCATGCTAAGCAAGTTCACCACTAAGCACACCCTCGGCTTCATAGTATTCTTTGTAATAAATGAATAAACAGAAATAAATGTTTCCCTAAATTCTGTGAGCTGCTTAAGCAAAGTAATTGAATTTGAGGAGGGAGCTGCAGGCACCTGAACTTATAGCTGGTGAGTCAGAAGCAGAGGTAAAACAACCCAAAGCTTGTGATTGTCAACTGGATCGGGGGCACGCTTGGGGACTAAGCCCCTACCCTGTGAGATCTCAGTGTCAGAACTCATTTGTTTCAGGGCCGGGGATTTGGCTCAGCGGTTCTGCCACCTGCCTTGCAAGCTCAAGGGCCCACATTAGATCCCCAGCACCAAAAACAAACAAACAAAAAAACAATAAAAAAGAACCGAATTGTTTTAGAGGACTTTCACGTGGTATCTGCTTCTGTCGAATTGATCATGAGCTTGGTGTGTGGAACCCCCACCCCACTTCTGATGTTAGTAGACTATGTTGATTTTTGTTCTCTCTCTCTTTTT